TAAAAGTTGCATATTTTGAATAAACAAAGCTGTCCACTTAAAGCAGGGATGATTTAGGCCAGTCCACATACACACACTTAATATTTAAACAAGGATGACCTACATTCAAATGGGATGTATTTTAACATTTTACCTAAGGTAGTAAAACCAGCTCACCGCACAGCTGTGCAGTTGTTTAAATATCACAAAGATCAGTGTGAAGGTTGTTTTATTTTCTCGGTCTTGAACAAGGAAGAAGTTGTAATCAACTTCCTGCTGCCAGCCACGGGAACCTGTGTTGCAGTTCTAAAGCACTTTTAAGAAAAGCTGCAGACCTGTGTGGGCACAGGGACCCGTCAGCAGTGCCCAGCCCGAGAGGAGCCCCAAGCGGCAGCGAGTTGGAGCGGCAAGCTTTGTCCGGCTGTGGCTGGCACTGTGGGAAGCAACTACTAATAGAAGTCTGATGCATCGAGCAAATGGCGCATTCTTAGGAAAAAAATCCATTTTGGTTCTGCCTTTTGTAACCAATTCTTTTGCTCTGAACAGTCTCTACTCTGGCAGACTCTAGCCTCTAGAAGGTGTTTATTCTCCCTAGTAATTAGCAAATCACGTGGGGACATCTTCAACATCCTAAATTCACCTGTCGAAAGAGTCACCCCCTCTCTGAGTGGTCCTCCCAGAACTGAGCCTGTGGTGCTGCGAGTCTTCTGAGCACTTTTGTTTTGGGTGTCACTATGCTACCTCCTGGACAGACTGCTTCCAGATGTCCTCCAGTCCTGCCACGTGTGTCTTCTGGCAGCCTCCTCACTGAGATGGGTACAATATGTCCCTCATCAGTTGACCAAAGTATATTTCAGGAACTCAGGACACCATTTAAAAAATAGTGTATCTCCCTAGTTCTCAAAGTTATGCGAATTCATTTTTGTAGAAATGCTTATTAGTGAATTCTGTCATAATTCAGCAATAATAGGTAAATAAAATATATGATTTGACAATATTTTAGTGGGCAGAGAGTGGCTCAGGAGTGATTTTTAAAATCACTGCTCTCACTGCTCTGGCTGGGGTAGCTCAGTGATCAGAGCATCGGCCTGTACACTGAAGGGTCATGGGTTCAATTTCCCGTCAAGGGCACGTAACTGAGTTGCAGGTTCAATCCCTGGCCCTGAAGGGCGCGTGCAGGAGGCAACCAATCGATGTCTGTCTTTCACATCGATGGTTGTCTCTCTCTCTCTCTCCCTCCCTCCCTCCTTTTCACTCTCTCTAAAAATTAATGAAAAAGATAATCCTCAGTTGAGGATTATCAGCAAAAAAACTCAGCTCACTATAAAATTATACATTTTGCTTTAGTTTGAAGTTTAGAACTGATTAAATCACAACATTAGAAATCCAATTGAGTTTTGGGAATCAAAGCGAATATTGATGAGTCTAAAGATAATATTTTGTCATAAATTGCTCTGCTAAAATCTGGTTTTACAACAGATGAATATGTTTCCTTCTCATTGCAATGAACTGCATTTTATCTGTTTGCCCTTCATCATTCAATATTAATATCATGAAAAGTAGAGCAACTGGACCATAGTTATTGTTATGTGTGTGTTTTTTAAAATTTGTTGGGGATATGGAGAAAAAGGACACCTTGTACACTGCTGGTGGGGGTGTAAATTGGCACAGCTACTATAAAAAACAGTAGGAGGTTTCCCCATAGGTGCTTCTTTTTTTTTTTTTGGAAATCAGACCCGGGATCCTTCGGTCTATGGGCTGACACTCTATCCACTGAGCCAAACCGGCGAGGGTCCTCATAGGTGTTTCTTGATGTAATGTATCATCTGTTAAGATCTCTTCCCCAAATAATTTAACAAGAATCTAATTAAGCCTCTATATCTTATAACCATTATTCTGGAAATCAGGGGGGTAGAGAACCATGTCAGATAATACCATGAGAATACAGGGAGACACATCCAGAATGTGGGAAATCCTATAGGCAAATGATCCAGTGTCCTCAGCAATCTATGGTGTAAAAAAAGAATGGGGCAATACAGAGTAAAGAGACCATACGAGCATGACTAAATGCCATGTGTCATACTTCAAAGGGCCATACTTTGATCTAATCTGAACAAGTCATTTTCAGATTGTCTGAAAAGATATTTTGGAGACAATCTAGGTGGGAAACCAAACACAGACTTATTATAATCAAGAAATTACCATTGTTTTGGTAATGGCTATTGGGGTATGGCATTAAATTTCCAAGACAGACAGAAAAAAAAGAGGGAGGGAAAGAGGATGGGAAAGAAGGAAGTCTTTATCTATGAGGGATACATAACGAAAATATTTAAGGATGAAATGAAGTGTTGTCTGGAATTTGCTTTAAAATAATTCCAGGAGAAAAAAAAGAATTGAGGTAAGGGACAGATGAAAATTAAGGCAAAGATGTCGATAACTGTTAAAGTTGGGTGATGGGTTATGGGTTCATCATTCTCTCTACTTTTGTGTGTATATTTAAGATTTCCCATATGAAAAGTTAAAAGGAGAGCGAGTCAGAATCCATCCCTCAGTACAACGCTGCCTTCCGTCTGCCACACAATTAGAACTTACCTGATCTAGAGGGAGCTTTGAGGTCCAGGTAGCATCCAGAAGACTCTTCCGCTGACTTTTAGGAGCGTCTCTCAGACGTAAAAAGAGCTCTTGTGCGTTCAGATGACACAGCTGACACACACCATGTTCAATTTCAAATACTTTGGCTCGCAGGTAACTGTTGTTAGAACGAATCCGAAACTCCTCCTGACAGTTCAGAGAGCAAAACCGTGAGTCCCAAGCGCTCGCTTTGCACTCTTGCTTCGTTTGGCCCGTGGGCTGCTGACAGCGGAGGCAAAGTGGGTTTCCTTCGTTATCCACAGCTTGCAGGTAGCCTCTGGACGCAGGCGGCTTCACAGCGAGACCAGCTTGCGCTAGGCAGGGAGTCGGAGGTGGGACAGAGGCTCCATCTTCAAGACACTCCCTAGAATTGAACAGAACATGGCTAATTAATACACTAGTCTAAATAAGCCTAACTTCACATAATGGTCTTCAGGATTTCTATGCTGATAAACAGTAAACATAGAACCCGCAGATTCTGTGATTCTATGTGGAAATGAAACACTACAGTCAGCACTCTCGACTCCATGCCAAATACAGGGAAGAATGGTGTGTTTAAAAAAGTTAATTTGAATACAAATGTGCCGCATCTCTTGGGAATTTAGATATCATCAAGTTAAACAATCAGACTTGGAAACATCTGGAGAAGTTAGAAATGCTCTTCAGGCTGGGACAGGACTGGCTACTGTGAAATCCCAGCTGAAGCTCTCCAATCGGTGCACACCTCCCTGGGACACAGCCCCTTCCCAAGGCTCCCATGGACCTGTCCTCTGGCTCCGCTGGCCCACGGGAAACAGTCACATCTGTAAAGTGACTGGGCCAAGTAGCTAACAGTGTCCATAGGGTTAGAACCGAAGACTTGCTAAGCATATGCCTCCTACAGGTAAACTCAGAGTCTGACTGAATTAAAATTAGAAATGAAACGTGGTAGGACATGTGCTCAATTTGTTAGGATAAAAGGAAAAGGGGCCCTAACCGGTTTGGCTCAGTGGATAGAGCGTCGGCCTGCGGACTCAAGGGTCCCAGGTTCGATTCCGGTCAAGGGCATGTACCTTGGTTGCGGGCACATGCCCAGTAGGGGGTGTGCAGGAGGCAGCTGATCGATGTTTCTCTCTCATCGATGTTTCTAACTCTCTATCCCTCTCCCTTCCTCTCTGTAAAAAAATCAATAAAATATATTTTTTAAAAAAAGGAAAAGGGGTATTACTTAATTGTGTTGAAAAGGCCTATGTGGGAATTACAACCGCTGTTTGCCTATGTTCTACGCTGCTTATTAGAAGCGTTAGAAGAAAACTTCTTAGGAAAGAAAGAACTCAGTATTAGGGGGCAGAGGCCAATTTGACCTCAGGCCTCCTAGCATCTTAGTGGCCTGGGGCAGGTCACTTGGTCTACCTGGTCTCAGGGTCCTCAAAATAACCTTCTTGTCTCTAATTACCAAGATGAGGCCATCATGTGCCTCACAGGGTTGCTATGAGAACTGAAGAATTACTGTATTGTGAAAGCTCTTTGGAACCTGTAAGGTGGCCACACAAGGGAAAAGCACAATTACAAAAATGAATGCAAAAATGGGAAGCAGTGGTCTCAGTGCTGCTGTGCCCGACCAGTAAGCAGGCCTTACTTTGTAGAAGTGTCCTGCGGCCCAGCCTCCTTGGTGATCAGGCGGACATGGCCCCCCGCATTCTTCACTTTGTCCATCGAGGCTGCAGCAACGTCTTCTTTAGTTATGTACCTAAAACAATGACCTGTTAGGTAGATGTTCTCTCCCTGGTAAGACATTTCCTGTTCACATCGCTCCTTGCAAAGGAGAGAAAAAGCGAGATCCAAGTCTATTGGTTATGTGATGCCAAAGTTAGGGGATGACATTTTCTTCCTTTATATTGGTCACCACGTGTGGGAAACACATTTCTTTCTTCCACATTAGATTTATTTTTCAAAGAAATTCAAGAGCCATTCAGTGTTCTACGGACCCATTTTCCTTAGAGGGAAAAAGGAGTGGGCGTAGGGATAAGAAACGATGGAGCGCATGCACACTGACAGCCTTAGGTAGAGTGCAGGAAATCTCTAACAGCGGTTCCCCTCTCCTGGCCTCCTCTTCATGGTTCCATAAATCACCTTGATCAGTTGTAATGATCAGCATTTCAGGTAAAGTGGTTCTCTTTTTAGTTAAACAGGTTCAATCACATCTGCCCTAATCTCAAGGTTGTTCCCATTATTATCAGCCCATCTGGGTTTACAGAACTGCCACTGAAGTGAAGCCACTCTTGCTGTGGGATTCACGGCACATCAATCCCACACAACGGTGTAGGGGCTGGAAGTGAGGAGGAAAGTTATTCCAATTAAAGGTGATGGGGGAATGTAAGTAGGTGAAATGCAATTACCCAATTAAGTCCTTCTAATTAGCATGGCCCAGTTTCTCTGGTAGTTAACACCTATTATCGTTTTTTTAAAAAAATCAGTTCAAACATAAATTTCTTCATTTGTTGAGTACTTCATCTGGGAGCTTGACAAAATCAAACTTAAATCACAATGGAATAGTTCTGCAATTGTAGGTAAATTTTAGAAATGTGCTTTTATGTTGTTAAAGTAGATTTAACAATAGATTTCCTTCTTCTTATAAAGTATTTTATTACTTTTCAATTAGGTGACACATACTGCACATATTTCAAAATTCGAACGACAGGCAATAGTGTATTTCCCATCCTTTTCACCTCCCCCAAAGCTATCTCTGCTGCTAGTTTTTAACAAATCCTTTTAGAAACAGTTTTTTTTCTGTATATAGGTTATACATTTTATTTACTTATCTCAGTATTTTTACAGACACATAACTCATAGCACTAAATTTAACATTTTAAATTTTACAATCCAGTGCATTTTGGTATAGTCACCAGATGTACTACCATCACCACTACCTGGTTCCAGAACATTTTTATCACCTCAAAAAGGAACCTGAACTCACTAGCAGACACTCCCCATTACACCCGTTCCCTTTCAAAACAAATGGTAGCATCACATACATAGTCGTCGCCACCTTGCTCTGTTTACCTAACCATACATCTCAGGATCTCTCCTCGGCACACACAGAGTTGCCCTCTGTTTTAAATGGCTGCAGTATTCCATTATTTGGACAAACCGTGTATCTAACCAGCCTCTGATTAATGGGCATTTCGGTTGTCCCAGCCTCTGCTGTCACAAACAACGCTGTCATAAATATCACTATACATGATCTTTTCTACACATGAAATAGATATAAAATAAATTCCCAGAAGTAGAATTGCCAGGACAGAGTCTTGGTGCTTTAAATTTGGGTAGCTTCTGAGACATTGCTCTCATTTCAGTTTGTTCCAAATACAGACTCACCAGTAATGACTGAGAGTGCCTGTTTCCTCACACTTCCACTAGCACCAGGTATGTCATTTGAAAACTTCTTGCACCAAAAGGTTGCTGGTTTGATTCCAGGTCAGGACACATGCCTGGGTTGCAGGCTCAATCCCCAGTCCCCAGTAGGGGGAGTGCAGGAGGCAGCCGATAGATCAGGGGTGGGCAAACTTTTTGACTCAAGGGCCACAATGGGTTCTTAAACTGGACCGGAGGGCCGGAACAAAAGCATGGATGGAGTGTTTGTGTGAACTAATATAAATTCAAAGTAAACACCATGACATAAAAGGGTACGGTCTTTTTTTTTTTTTTAGTTTTATTCATTTCAAACGGGCTGGATCAGGCCCGCGGGCCGTAGCTTGCCCACGGCTGCGATAGATGTTTCACTCTCACATCGATGTTTCTCTCTCTCTCTCTCTCTCTCTCTCTCTAAAAATCAATAAAAATATTTTTAAAAAGAAAAGTTCTCTGTTAATGGTGATAGGTATCTCATTATAGCTTTAAGTTTGCATTTCTCCTGTTAAGAGTAAGGGTGATTATCTTTTCATACATTTGCATTTCTACTGTGTGTCTTTCTTAAAGCAATAAAGAATTATAGTGAATTCCTTTAAAATTCTCTAATTTTAGTTTGTAAACTCCTCCCACCCCCCATTTCTTCAACCATTTTATTCCCTTGACAAAAACACTTCACGAAAGTATTTCAGTGGATTCTAAATGAACTAAAAAGCTTCATAGCTCTGAGGGGCGAAGGGATATTAAGTCTTGCCTTAGGTATTATTCAATGTTTAAAAGCTTAGAAACCTAATTCAGTAACTTTAAAAGATGCTGCAAAATCTATTCAGAGATTTAAGAACTAAAAATAACCTTTCCTACAAGAGTTTTTAGCACAGATTTTTGGAAACCATAGGAACAGATTAATCAACTCCAAATGGAGGGGGCAGAGGGATAACTTTTCAAACATAGCTGTGAGTTACCAATATTTAATTTTCCACTGAGGTTTGCTATGAAGTTCATGTAAGTATATCAACTCTCAAAAGGATTATGTAATTCCCACTTTTGACAAATAGGGAAGGAAGAATGTTGTCTGCTACCTACTTCCTGGATGGGGCTGCGACAGAGGACGGCAAATTTTGTAAGAAGAGAGGAGTGAGTGTGTGTGGAAAGTGGTCCACCCCAATGAAAACCCTGCTGGCTCCAGGTTGCCCACCTGCTTTGGAGATCAGCTGTGGCTGGAGGATAACTAGTTGGCATCCTAAACTCAACAGGGCTCCACTGGACCAGGCCTGCCTCTGCTGAATGGGAACTCACTTAGGAACCGAACAATGGCTGGTGACCTTGGCTTCTATTCACACTGAAGAGTGAGCTGCTCAAAAGCTGACTGCAGGCCCTGAGCTGGGATGAGCCTGAAAACTGGTGGACAGCACTGGAGGGTAATCTAATTGGGGATTTAGCCATTGCTTTTGGGGGGAACTCCTAAAAAGCAGTACCTATTTGTCTTTATTCTAAGGCCATTCCATTTTTTTCAGAGATGAATCTTCTGCCTAGGGAATGAAATGTGGCTGCTGGTCATCTGGAAGTTGAGTGAAGAATATGGAAGCACAATGAGCCTGATGCCAACCTTGGTTCCACTTCTCTAGAAAGTAAACTGGGAGGACAGTGGGGGAGGCACCCAGTGTCTAACCCTCCTCACAAGACTTCCACTCAGCGCTGCTGCGCAGCCCTGCCCTTCACACCTGCTTCCAGAGACGTGGTTACTCCACTTTACTGAGACTCAGTGGGTTCCACAGTGCGATCTGCATGCTTCCTCAAGGTACCGCCCTCTACGGGGACGCAGTTTCATTGTCATGCTCTGCTAAGTCAGTTTCCCTGGAGCCCTCCCTCTCTAATCAATGACCAAGGTCTTCAGAACTACCTCCTTAGCACCGCTCTCCGTTTTCTCCATTCCCATTGCTAATGACTTCATAAAAACCCCTCATCTTTTGTTCTTTCCAGGTCTACTACAATAGTCTTTTAATTTGTGTGGTAGGCAGAATTTAAAGACATCTCCCTAGGATTCCTGTCTCCAGCATCCAATCAATAACTCATCTAGGTCAGTGGTCGGCAAACTCATTAGTCAACAGAGCCAAATATCAACAGTACAACGATTGAAATTTCTTTTGAGAGCCAAATTTTTTAAACTTAAACTATATAGGTAGGTACATTGTTATTAACTAATTAGGGTACTCCTAAGGCTTAGGAAGAGCCACACTCGAGGGGCCAAAGAGCCGCATGTGGCTCGAGAGCCGCAGTTTGCCGACCACGGATCTAGGTAATGCTGTAAAAGGACCTTTGCAGATGAAATTAAATTTACTAATCAGCTGACCTTAAGATAGTAAACAATTCCAAGCACAAGGAGTTCACACAACTTTGTTGGCCCTGAGATGTAGGGATCCTTGTACTAGAACTAGGAAGAAGCCTCTAACAGCGGTTCTCAACCTGTGGGTCACGACCCCTTTGGCGGTTGAACGACCCTTTCACAGGGGTCGCCTAAGACCATCCTGCATATCAGATATTTACATTACGATTCATAACAGTAGCAACATTACAGTTATGAAGTAGCAACAAAAATAATTTTATGGTTGGGTCACAACATGAGGAAGTGTATTTAAAGGGCCAGAAGGTTGAGAACCACTGCTCTAGAAGCTAAGAGCAACCCCCAGCTGAGAGCCAGCAAGGAAACCTAAGTCCTACAACCACAAGGAACTGAATGCTGTCAACCACCTGAATGAGCAATGGATCCTTCCCAGACTATCAGTAGAGCCCAGCTGGCCCACATTTTGTTCTCAGCTTTATAAAATGCAGAGCAGAGAAACCAGCAGAGAAACTCAGGCTTCGACTTATAAAACCCCAAGATGATAAACCACTGTTGCTTTAAGCTAATGAGTTTCTGATAATTTGTCATGATAGCAACAGAAAACTAACTCAACTCATCTCTGCAACTGGAGTATCACCCTTTCAATCTAACCTTCCAACTGCTGCCAGAGTGAGCTCTTAAAAACACAAGTCCAACAGACTTACTTTGCTGCTTGTTAACACATGTGGTATCTATAAGATATCACTGCACATCCTATATAATAAAAAGGTAATATGCAAATTGACCAAATGGCAGAACAACTGGTTGCTATGACCTGCACTGATCACCAGGGGGCAGACACTCAACACAGGAGCTGCCACCAGCCCGAAGGCCCCAATCCCTGGATCGGGGCCAATCTCTCGGTCTCTTCCCCTGCCCGGCAGGCTCCAATCACCCGATGGAGAATGGGGAACAGGGGGGGGTGGCGACAGGGGGTGGAGCCGGCTGCCGGCAGCCTGGGAAGATGGCCCTGATCGCAGGCCAGGCCTAGGGACTGTACCTGTGCACGACTTTCATGCGCCAGGCCTCTAGTAATTTTATAAGTAACTTTGGTTTGTATCAATTTTATCAGACTTGCTTTTAGCCTGAGCAGTCACCTTTCTCAAGCCGGTTCTTTAAGTGGTCATCCATGTCTGATGGAGAAGAAACTAGAAATGGCTGGGGTTAACTCTGACTGTGGTTATAAAAATGAGAAAATAGAGAGGACTAGAAGAAGTATTGAGAACAATAAAATAGGCATCATGCTTTTTGTTATATGTGTGTGCATATATGTATGAGTAGGTGTGCGTATGTATAAACACACACATATTTTAAATGTATTTTTTCATATAAAGTAATACATGCTCCTGAGAAAAATTCAGTACTGAAGACATTAAGCAAGAGTCCAAAACTGGCAGCTCATAAATAAACCAACTCCGCAGAGTCATGCAGTAGTTTATTTTTAAATCTGAATTTAAATGATGTTAGATCGGTTGTGCACTTTACAATTTGCCATAGTTCCATCTCCTGCCCCATCTTTTCCTAGTTTTACACCTGACCTCATTTGTTCATTTACGATGCCTGCTTTGTTTTCGTCATTAGTTTGTGATCCTGGAGTAAAGTACAAAGTTCCTACCATCTCCACAAGTCCCCTAATCTGTGGTCTACAGCAAGATTGCTCAATGGTGGCACTCCTGACGCTCTGACACAGAAAACTCTTTGCTGGGGAGTGCAGTGCTGCTCCCTGCAGGACTGTTATCGATACCCCAGGCCTCTGGCTGCTAGGTGTTCCCCTGCTGTGTCCCCCGATTTTGACAAACTAAAAGTTGTCACCCTGGGGGTAAAACTGGCCCAGCTGGAACCACTGTCCTAGAGAAAGCTCTGGGGAGATTTTCTGAGGTATCCTTCCAGACACT